CTAAGAATTTCCGTAACTTTTCTTATCTGAAAGGACTCGAGTCTTCCACTGCAGATAATTGGAGACTTTGCCCAAGTTTTCTTTCCCTTTAGTTTGTTCGTTTACTGTCTGGATGGCCAATGAGCCTGTCTCCTTTTCCATGGCCAGGCTGAAGGCCTGTGTGGGAAGCGTTGTTTACAGTCATCTTTGCTGAGATAACAGACTGTTCTCTGGAATATCAGGGCTGAGGCGACACTAGCTTAGAGCTGTTGTCTTTAAAAAGCAGGTACCAAGAAGCCAGGTGCGTAGATTTCCTCTGGTTCTCACATGAACCACCTACTCTTACGTTATTATCTGGCCCAGGAGTGGGGTCGATTCTTTAGTCCGTGACTATTAAACTTGACACCTGTGCGTTGGGTTCTGTGAATACTGCCCTTTTGGCCTTTGGGGGAGGTTTCTTCGTCCCCGGCCGTCACTGCTCACCTGTCAATCCAAATCAGTGTCAGCTGAAGGGAGGTTTCAGGACAGCCCTCATCTCCATGGTGGCCTTCAGTGAGGACAGCCTCCTAACCTCTAGCCAGTGGGGTCCCGGCCCAGAACCATCTCTGAGACCCATCCTTATGGATGTGTTAATATCTGATCATTCAAACTTCCAACCGTAAGCCTCCCACCGGCCAAGGGAAAAGAGACGCCAGAACCGTGGGCACTATCAGACCGACATGGCCAGTACAGAGGAAAACTAGGGAAGGAGTGGTGATTTGCACCTTATCAAAAAGAAAATATTACGTGCATACATAGTTAAGAGCTTTTATTGTGACAGGAGAACTTTTTTCCATATGCGTGCATACTCTCTGTAATTCCAGTGTAAAATATTGTACTTGCACTAGCTTTTTTAAAACAAATATTAAAAAAAAAATGGAAGAATTCATATTCTATTTTCTAATCGTGGTGTGTCTATTTGTAGGATACACTCGAGTCTGTTTATTGAATTTTATGGTCCCTTTCTTTGATGGTGCTTGCAGGTTTTCTAGGTAGAAATTATTTCATTATTATAATAAAACAATGTTTGATTCAAAATTTGAACAAAATTGTTTTAAATAAATTGTCTGTATACCAGTACAAGTTTATTGTTTCAGTATACTCGTACTAATAAAAATAACAGTGCCAATTGCAAATGTGTCCTTGCCTTGTGTCAGGTCCCCGAGGAACGCTGAGGCTGAGGCAACTGGGAATTCCTCCTTCCTTACCCACGGTCATCACCCCCTGGGTTTGGGGGGCGGTGACATGGGCATTGCCTGTCCTGAGGGTGTGGGGAGCAGAGGTCGTGATGAGTTTCTGAGACAAAAGGTCCACTTCTGCATCTGATGCTGTGCCTGGCTCTGTTCCTGTTGATTGCTCCTATCTGAATCCCACTGTTTACAAGAGATAATTGTTTCTAAACAGCATTTGGCAGCTTGGTGCGCTCACGTAGCATCATGGATACATTCTATACAGTTTCACTGTAAACCGGTTCGTGGTCTGAAGGCAAAGTTCACTGTAGTTAAAATGTTTCCTGTAGCTATGACTGTTAGAAACGCAACAAGCGGGGGAGGGGGGGAGGGGGTCACCCAGCACGTGGAGGGACCTGTTTGTCTCAAGCAGTTGCCCCAGAAAGTGGGTCTTTCAGTGACATTTGCCAGCTGCTTGTGTGACGACGACCTCCTAACTGTGAGGCCCTGCAGAGGTGGAGGAGAACTCGGTGTTGTTAGCCCAGGAAAGGGAGGGTAATGCTGTCCTATCTTCCTGGTTAGGTGTTTGGGGACATCTCACCAGACTCTCCTCTCAGGACTTACGTGAGGCCCTGAGCGTTGTGCATGTTGGTGTGTGACAGGACGTGCACTAAGCCAGCAATGAGGAGGTGAGCCTCGCAGCCCGACAGGAAGCCTGCCGTGTCCCCTCCTCCTCCAGAGCAGTTTGGGTGGCCGTGCCGTGTGCTGGGGCACGCGTGGGGCAGCAGTCTGAACCGTTGCCTGCCCTGTTTTAACGTTAGATGCTAATGGCTCTGACAAGTTTGGGGTCCAATGGCTATGAGTCTTACCTGGACTGGTCACACCGATTAGGAAAAGCCTTTGCCTCCCCGGCTGCAGTGGGGAGGCCTTGACACCATTAAGCACACAGCAGGACCCCAAGGTGGACAGGAGGCACCCAGTTCCCTGGCTCCTTCCCTCCTCACCCGGCACTGCTGCATGGAGGCCTGCACTCAGGCAATAGGGCTGCTTCCATCTGTGTCCCTACACGCACCTGGTCTGTGGGCTGCTCCCCTGTGGGCTCCCCTCCCCCCACTCCTGTTGGAGGCAGAGATGAACTGGCTACCGAGTGGATGCCTTAGAAGCACTGCTTATTGTGCAGCCTCTGCTTCCAGATGACCCAGCAGAGTGTGTGGCTTTTCCTATAACTCAGTTTTCACGTCCCTAAACACCTGAGCGAGGGACCTGCCTTTGGTTGGTTGGTGCAATGAAAGAGCTAGTCTGCAGTCTGCGCAAGACAGATGGCACCAGCAGACATCCCGGCAGAGGGCTACCCACAGGGGCCATTGGGTGACGGGTGCCCCCACCCTGGGCACTCTGAGGGGAGCCCAGGAGGAGACTGGTCTGGGAGGGGATACTGGTAACAGTCCCTTCCCAGTGACTACTGCTGGAACATCTTAAGTGGATCCCCTCAGGTCCTCCTTTGCTTCACCTCTCTCCCTCATCCTATATAATAAAGAGGTAATATGCAAATTGACCATCACACCCTCACACAAGATGGCCACCCTCATGTGGTCAAAGATGGCCACCCCCATGTGGTCAAAGATGGCTGCCACAAGGTAGCTGGCAGGGGAGGGCAGTTAGGGGTGACTGGGCCGGCATGGGAGGGAAGTTGGGGGTGACCAGGCTGGCGGGGGAGGGCAGTTGGGGGCGACCTGGCCAGCAGGGAGCAGTTAGGGGTAATCAGGCTGGCAGGCAGAAGTGGTTGGGGGCAATCAGGCAGGCAGGCAGGTGAGCTGTTGGGAGCCAGCAGTCCTGGATTGTGAGAGGGATGTCCGACTGCTGGTTTAAAACAGCAGGCGGCCATCCCCCGAGGGGTCCCAGATTGGAGAGGGTGCAGGCTGGGCTGAGGGTCCCCCCCCCCAGTGCACGAATTTCATGCACTGGGCCTCTAGTCCAGCTATATCTCTATCTATCTATCTATATATATATATGTATATATGTATATATCTCCCTAATATGCAAATAGACCAAACGGCTGAACAACCGAACTGGTCACTATGATGTGTGCTGACCATCAGGGGGCACGCACAGAACATGGTGGGCATCAGCTGTGGTGGGATGGTGGAGCAGGTGAGTGGGGGCACCAGACCAAGGCAGGGCACCAGTTGCTGTCATTGGGGCAAGCCTCTGGTGGTTACTGAAAATTCTTTGCTCCCGCGCTGCAGGCCCCGATTACCCCTCAGGGCTTCTCCACCTCCCCCTGCTCCTGAGAGGCGATTGGGGCAACAGCCACTGCTTGCACCCACTGATGGCACCGGCCCCAATCACTCTGCGCAGTCAGCGGGTGCGAGCAGGGCCATCGGTGCATGGGAGCAGCGGTGGCGGGAGCGGGGCTGCTGGCAGACAGGGGACTGGGAGCCTCAGTGGGAGGACCCAGGCAGGGGTGTGGAGGATGGGCCGAGACCCGCCCTGTGCCCACCGCAGCCTCGCAGCCCAAAGTTCCTTTCAAGGTGCATGAATTTATGCACTGGGCCCCTAGTTTTGCATAAAGAAACAACAAAGAGGAGTGTCAAACACATCTTCCATCTTCCACAGGACAGCCTTGGGCTCACCCCTCCCACCCAGCAGACAGAAAAGGCGGGGTGCCTCCAGCACAGCCCCACATCTTGCTCTGACTACACGTCCTTGACCCCCACATCTCCAAGGTGTAGCCATTCACATTTCCACCAGTACAAGCATCATTCTCCACGGATGTGGGGGGAAAGGCATTCCAGTGGAGTTAAAGTTGCTGGTCTTTGGCAGTATTCTTGTAAGACTGAAAATGGAACTCTGAGTGTGTGGGATTTGGTTGTTTCCCTCCTACAGTGTGAACCTCGGCCCCTCCTTACTCTAGGGCCATCGCTGCTTTTCAGGGAAAAGTTTACTCCTGTGTCTGCTTCTTTAGAAGTAACACCCTGGTCTGCATACACCCTCCAGTCCTCTCTCTCAAATAATGCTTCAAAAGCGGCCAGCCGTCACCAATGCGCCACGTTCACCGCTGACACCGCACCACAGTGGACACAGTGCCACAGCGGACACAGTGCCATGGCGGCCGGCTGCAGGGCTGCTGCCAGGCCCAGGTCCTCTCTCCAGGAAAGCACCGACGTTTCCGGTGAGTTGACCGTTATCCAGGAGCACTGGCAGGCCTTCCTTCAAAGCATAATCACCAGGAGGGGCCGGTTCTGGTTCTAACTCATATGTTAAACCAATGCTTTTAGGAAGGTGCTGGCCAAGGTTTTTGCTATTTTTTTCAATGGGACTCTACCTGCTAATTTTTTGGTGGATAACCTTTCACTAAAATATGGTGTGGAATTTCAAAGTAATGTATAATCTCTTTAAGAGAGCAGCCAGCCAGGCAAGTTGGGATGCAGAAAGGAAGGGGAAGAGATGGAGAAACAAAGCTAAGTGAGGGACAGGGACAGGGACAGGACAGCTTCCCAGAAGGCGCACAACTGGCAGGGGCAGATGACCTGCTCCCAAAAGACTCGGCTAACAAAGGGGTGAAACACATCACCGCCCACTGAGAGTATCAGTGGAAACCAATTCCTCCTCACCTGCCCTTTTGTGCTTTGGTTCTTCTCCAGAAAACGGAAGGAAGCTGGAGGGGGTGACCTGGTTACCCTGACCTCCCCCCCGCCCCGCCAGGTGCCTGGACTTAGGGCCACGAGCAAGCATGTCTGGGAAGGAGGTGGGAAACCCCCAGGTCCCCCTACAACTTGGCTCCTGAAAAGGCAAACTCCAGGACTCAGTAAGTCTTAAGGTAACAACATTATATTAAAGTGAAACCATTTTCTTTTTAAAAAAGAAAGAAAAAGGTACGAGTGTTAGTTTGAACAATGAGGTTATGAGTTCCGGGCAGCTGGGCTCTGACCACTGACCCTATCTGTGCTCTGCTTCCCGCCCCACCACAGGCACCAGGGGACCCCAGCGCTTCCGGGCGGCAGCAGGGGAGGCAGCGTCCCACCGTTCAGGAGCAGCCCGAAGCCCAGACGGACGGACAGACGGACGGGGATGTGAACGCAGCGTGTGGAAGCTTCTGTGAGCAGCCGGCACCTGCCCCCAGGTTAGCCAAACACCGTGTTGTGCTGCTGGGTCACCCGGATGAATGTCGTCCTCTTGCTGAGCTCTTTGAGCTTGGCGGCCCCCACGTAGGTGCAGGTAGACCTCAGTCCCCCCAGAATATCCAGGATCGTGTTTTCTACATCTCCTCTGTAAGGCACTTCCACGGTCTTGCCCTCCGACGCTCTGGGAGAGAAAGGAAGTGCTCCTTTAGCCCCGCTCGTCTTCCTTAAGCACCAGTTGTTCCCAGCGCTAGCCCCTGAAGCAGCCCCAGGGCTCTCAGGTAGCCAAATGCCTCTGAGCCCACGCCTACACTGCCTCACACACCAGGCTGGCCCTGCCCGCACCTCAGATGGACAGGTCCTCCCACCCTAAATGCCTGACCTCCTGCCGGCTGCTCCGAGCACCAGGGAAAGGAGTCTGTGAGCAACACTGAGGCTGCAGACCCGGACCTGCCCAACGGCATTCCTCTCAGCAGCGGGCCTCCCCTCTGCCCCACAGAAACTCACTTCACCTTTCTCCCCACCTGGATCTGCACACCTGTCTCCCACTGGCCCAGGGCCCAGGGGCAGGAGAGCAGACCTGGGGGATTACCTCCAGGCCAACCCCTGCCACCCACCTTCTGCTCGCCCGCCCTGATCAACAACAGAAGAAGCCTGGAGCTTCACCCTCCTGCATCCCAGGTCAGACTCCAGTGTCTCCAAAGGAGTCAACCAGGAGGAGGAGGAGGAGGAGGAGGAGGAGGAGGCTGCCAATGAAATGAACACCCCTAACCCACCAGGTTGTGTCGGTACCTCCACCAGCAAGATGCAGCGGCTCCCCTCCAAGGCCTGCCTTTCGAGGGGGCAGGGTGCCTTGTCGGGCACATTCCCCCAGCTCACACCTGCACTCACGCAAGTCATACACCTATCGTGTGCTGGGTGTGGTAAGGTCCCAGCAAGGTGGAACCAGTGTAGAACTTGGGACTTTTTTAACACCGAGACGTGAGGGCTTTGGTTAGCATCGTTCCTGCTTTCAGAGGCGCATTCAGAAACTCAGGTCTAGTACACAGTGCAAGCCCTGAGCAGTATCTGTCCGTGCTGAGTCGGCCCCTCTCCACAAAGCCTCCAAGTAACAGTGACTCCACACGTCAGGTCCCCTTCCTGCCAAATGGGGACACGGTCCAGACCTGCTTTTGGAGACACAGGGCAAAAAGGAGATCCCAAATCTATGCAAAACGCTAGCCCCCACCTAAGGGCCAGGCAATCTGGACATTTTAATAATTAACCAAATTGTTACTGGAACTTTCTCTAGCTGGTCTCTTTTCATCTGTTACAATACTACCTCTTGATTAGAATCTTACTGCCTAGAATTTCAAAAGGGAATAACTGTTGTACACTGAAATCTACACATGCAAGACTACCCTTGGGTGAAGTCTATGTAGACCATCCACTAGACCAAGGGCTGGCCTAGCGGCTGGCTTCGGGCACTGAGATGATGAAGCAGCAGACTCATGTCACTGCTCTCTGTGACCAGAGACCAGCGTCTGTGCACGCGTGCTGCGATGCCTGCCATTTCATTTTCTGAGGCCCGGGCCTTCCGGGAGCTTCCTGGAAATCACTCAGATTCTCATCCTGGTTCTCTGCTAACTGGTGACAGCACCTTTTGCAGGTCATTTACTGCTGATGCTCAAGTCTTCTCATCTGTAAAACACGGTACTTTGATCTCTCTCCCAAGGATGGGCAGCGTGAGAACCAAATAAATGGTTAATGACTGGGAAGGAACTAGCACAGCATAAATAACGGGTCTTCATTAAAGACAATGTCAAATAAGGAGAACCATTCTCATGAGGAGACAATGGTGATGAGGCTGCAAACACCCAGGAAAAGAGAAGGAAGGAGGGAGGGAGGGACAGGAAGGAAGATGGAGAACAGATACAGCCTGCAGGACTCAGGCTGCCTTTGGATCAAAGTCCTGATTCCTTCCGTGCGTCTCTTCCTTGTCTAAGATTCGAATCCGCTTTCAGATACGAGTCTCGCTGCTCCTGAATATTTTATCTCCTGTTGTGTCTGGGCCCTGCTGAAATGACAGGGGATGATTTTTCATTTGGCCCCTTGGCTTCTGTCATGCTGGGGCCTCATCGGGCCTTCCCTGCCTGCTTTTCTTAGGACCCGAAACAGATGGAACAGCTAGAGGGCAAACGATGCACTCCAGGCAAAGCAGCCGGCTGCTGCCCCCCATGGCTCCCCTTACACCCCAGTGCCCAGGAGGCCCACCCCACCTGGGATGTGACAATGGCTGCTGGGAAAGTGGGGAGCTTGGCCAGAGGTCCAGGTTAGCACCGAGCAGCAGTCCCCCCCCGCCCCTCTATCAGTCACCACATGGGACGGCTGCCTCAGGCTGCAGGGGAAGGAGTGCACCCTTGTTCTGACCATCGGAGGTGGCCAGGTGAAGGTGTAAATGCAGTCAGTCCCCTACTCCTCTTTCCCACCCTGCCTTCCCCATGCTATAATGTTCTATTTATTGAGGTCCCCCCAAAAGAGAAAGACTGGCGAGAGTGAGGACTGAAGTCCCCTGTTCCCTACTGAAGAAAGAGCTTGAGAGATGGTGCCCCACACCGCCCCCTGCCTGCCCGCACGCCCACTGCAAATCTCTGGGAGTTCTGATGTTTTACCTCTGGATTGGTTTGAACCTTATATTATGCATCTGAATCCCATGTCCTTACAATAAGCGGTTAGGTGTGGCAGGAACGGTCGGACATGGAGGGTGTCGGCCACAGAGGCTTGGGTTCCATGCCAGCACTGAGGCTTCCTGGGGAAAGGCAATCGGCCTCCCACAGAGGACTTCCTCCTAAGGATACAGGACCTCGTCCTGCCCCCTCTGTGTGCCCTGGCATCAGTGCCAACCCCACTAAGGGCAACAGCAGCCTCTCTGGAGCAAAGCAAGGTCATGGGTATATTGTCATATAAACACACATGCAGACAATAACATGGAAGTGATTTTAACCAATGTCGCCCCAATCAATTAATTTAAAGGTAAAACAATAACATAGATGGAAGTGAAATAAAGGCCAGGTTATTTTGGGGGATCATGGATTAAAAAAAAAAGAAAAGCAGACGTGAGCATCTCTTCTACAATGAGGGGCAATGACATGGCTAAAATGCTGCCTGTTTCAACTGTCAGAGCTAGAGGGCCCATGTGAGTGCCTGTAGGTGAAACACAGCTTTCTTCAAGAAAGCCGGCCTCCACGTGATGGTCCAGAACCACACCTGTTTCATATGCAATGGAAACCCTTCTTCAACCCAATTCTTGCAGCCTGAACTCATCCCGGGCCAGAGGTCAGAGGTCACTGGGAGAGGTCAGCAGAGGCTCTACCAGAAGGAGGAGGCAGTAACCTCCCGGCCCCCTCTGGAAGTCTGGAGTGTCACTGCGGGGACTGGCTGAGCAGGAGCCCTCCGGACTCACACACACCCCAGTCCATGCCCAACCCATCCCCAAACAGCTCTGCTATCACTGCCTTTTGAGGGCCCCCAACACTGCAGACTAGCTGGGAGAAAAACATGGCTACTTACAAAGAGCAAGATAGGTTTCCTGCTCCTGCCCATGGTGCTTTGCTATAAAGAGAAGCAACATTCTTTGAGACCTACTTCCACCCGATTCTGAAAGGAGCAGGAGAAACGTGAGTCCTCACCGGCAAGAAGCCTTACCTGTACTCGGCCACCCCTCCTGCGTGTTTCTTCATCGCTGTTTCGGAGCTCATCCCATAGAAGAGCTTGAGCTTCTGCCCGTCCCTCTCGATCACCTCTCCAGCACACTCGGTGTGGCCCGAGAACATGCCTCCGAGCATGACAAAGTCTGCTCCGGCTCCTACACGCCGAGCATGGGACAGGAGGAAGCAGCAACGGAAAGAGCTCAGAGAAAATGGGCTCTGGAAAGATCCAGGTGCTACCCCCACTCACCCTCGCACCACCGAGAGCTATCGTCCAGAGAGAAGCCCATCTCTCCCCTCCTGACAAGGGCCAGTCCTCAGTAGTTAACAATGAGCACCTTCCCGAGGTTGAACTTAGAATCAGAGAAATGTTAGCAATCGAGCAGCATGTTAGGCTGCCCGCAGTCCATCTTCTCCTTAATGCAGTAACTGCTCTACACGGTCCCCCCAGGCGTCTGGTCTACCTTCAGCTCTCACAGGCTCACACTGTGTTGATCGTGAGACCTCGGAGCAGACTGAACCTCCTATATTGGACTGGCATGAAGGAGAGAAACCTGCACATGTGTGTGTATGCATGTATATGCATCATGTAAAACTCTACCTCACACCTCTGTTGTGATGTTTGCTTCTAGGATAAATAATATCCCATATTAATCACCAAATGGCATGAGACTTCCAGGCTAGGTGCAGAGGACACAGGGGTATGGAAGCTGCCTTTGAAGGCTACATTGGAACAGGGCCAGGAGCAGCTGGAACAGCAGGACTGGCCACTGCCGTGTCCCCGGTCTGTCACAGTGCGTGGCACATGGGAGAAGCAAATGCCTAGTTGTCGATGAAGTAAAGGGTGTGTGTGAAGAAACGGAAACAGTCCCCACCCCCACCCTGTCCATGGAGCACTGTGCAGACAGGGTCTCCACCGACTGCTACAACCTGCAACAAACCGCTGCAGCCGCTCCCCAGGAAGTCCTAGCGAGGGTGCACATTCGGAACAGGAGGACACCAGGGTACAGAGGTACTAAGTCATTAGAATGAAGGATAAGGAGGAGCAAGTATAGGAACCCCTGAAAAGTGGCTGTGACCTCTTCCATCTGGTTGTTTAGATAGTTATAAGACAGTGGTTCTCAACCTTCTGGCCCTTTAAATACAGTTCCTCATGTTGTGACCCAACCATAAAATTATTTTCGTTGCTACATTAAAGTTAACTGTAATGTTGCTACTGTTATGAATCGTAATGTAAATATCTGATATGCAGGATGGTCTTAGGCGACCTCTGTGAAAGGGTCGTTCGACCACCAAAGGGGTCACGACCCACAGGTTGAGAACCGCTGTATAAGAGGACTGTGGGGGCCGGGGGAGGGGGCAGCCTTACAGTCCCTCCTGCGCATCATCACTGACAGGCAGGCTGCGCCAGCGGGCCCTTTGACCCGGCACCACAGGGCCTTCCCACCTGCAATCAGCTTTGAGGCCATTCCTTGCGGGGTCCCTAACACAGATGCTG